TTACAGAATACATTTTGGGGCATGTATTCTGTATTCTGTAATGAAATACATTTTAAAAGTAACCTTCCCAACACTGGTTCTAGTGATGGGAATTCCGGCTCTTTTTAGTGAGCCTAGCCTAACCGGCTCTTTAGGTTGTTTCCTTGCTTCAATTAATTTATTATCACCAACAATATAAAATTATGCACAAAAGGAATTACTAATGTAAAAAAACGTGGTTTTATTTGTATATTTTTATATATAAACATATACAGTGGCCCCTAGAGACAAAGCAGAGAGCGAAAGAGAGCCAAGGACAACAACAAGAGACAACATTGTCACATTAGAAAGGCATAGTAATCATCCACAATTATTTTCAGTTCCAGATGATAAAGGATTCAGAAAGTTTATTCATGCAGTCAGTCCTATGTATATTTTATTGTATTGTGGTTTGCAGTGTTTTGTGTTGTTTCACTTTAAATTTGTTTAAAAAGAAAAAGCTGAAAATTTAAATAGTTAAAAGTTGAATTGTAAATAGTTGGTTTTTGTATTTTATAATTTATTTTTTACATTACAAAAACATTGTAAACCACAACACAATAATATATAAAGTACGTGTTTTGGAGTTTGTACGTCATTTGTCTCTAGGGGCCACAGTAAGTATACTTTTATTTATTCACTCCACATAAAATCTAATAAATAAATTATAAAATACATAAACAAACTACTTACATTTGAACTTTTAACTATTTACATATTCAGCTTTTTTGTTTTAAACAAATGTAAAGTGAAACAACACAAAACACTGCAAACCACAACACAGTAATATATAAAGTACATGTTTTGGAGTTTGTACGTGCTTTGTCTCTAGGGGCCACCATAAATATACTTTTATTTATTCACTCCACATAAAATCTAATAAATTATATAATACAAACAGCAACTATTTAAATTTTCAGCTTTTTCCTTTTAAACAAATTTAAAGTGACATAACACAAAACACTGCAAACCAAAACTCAATAAAATATAAATTAAAATATGCAAAACAAAAAGATTTACATTCTCTGTCATATAGGCCTGGGATAATTTTGGGAGAGTGTTTTCCTGCTTGGAATTGCATACATAGGATTCACTACATGAATAAACTTTCTGAATCCTTTATCATCCGCAATGTAAAATAGTTGTGGATGATTACTATACCTTTCTAATGTGATAATGTTGTCTCTTGTTGTACTCCCTGGCTCTCTTTCTCTCTCTTTCCCTCCCGCTCTGTTCCTGTGCTACTGCAAGTTTAACTACCGCCCCTCTATGGCGTTATTTTTGTGCCACTATTCTGAGTGCACATAAAAAAAATTTGCAGGTGCAAGTGTTGCATTTTGAGGAGAAATTTATTTTGAGCGAAGAAAAGCTAAATTTGAGTGAACAAAATTCATTGCTGCGTGCAAAAAATGTATTTCAGTGTTTGCTATTATCCATACACACACACAATAGCAGCCCCTCTCAGAGGCTCAGTTTTTGCATTTGCGTTGGTATACATATTTACCAACAAAACAGTGTACATCACTGTCACAACAACGTTTGTTTTAGTTCAAAGGCTTTATGGTTTTTCCTATAATACCTGGTGGTGCAGTCGGACGATTTTTTGTCAGTTCAGCCTTATATATTACGTTTAACCCGAGTGACCACCCGGTCAGCTGGTGGGTAACAGGCATCTCCGAAAACGTTAGAGCACTTATGCAAATATGTGATGTCTTGATAAATCGAGCAGATATTTTAAGTTTACACAGCACCATTCTCGCATGAAAATATCTTAAAAGTTTTTTTTGTGACCCAGAAAGAGTAACATTTCAAACTCCACCACTCTGTGCTCCTCCACCACTGCCTCGTTTGAGTTTTGGATGAAATGGATTCTGGGATATTGCATTTCGTCATTCGAGCTGATTGGAGATGAAAACAGCCAATCAGATTTTTTTGCATCCAAGTCTGTGATTGGCTGGTTTTGTGGCACAAGGGTGTACAGAAAGAGTTGAGCGCGCACAGGCAGAAATGTGTGTGGTTGGAGGATGTGTTAGTGTGCGCGCGTGCACGCGGCGGGGAGGGCGCGAACATTTTTCATGTAAAACAAAGGGGGGCCCAGAGAAAAAAGTTTGGGAACCACTGGTCTAGTAAATGACTTCATTGTGAATGAGTCATGAGTTATTTAAAAATGAATTTGTTCTGTCACACACAAAGAAATTACTTGATTAACAGCTTATAATAATAATAATAATAATGGATTGGATTTATATAGCGCTTTTCAAGGAACCCAAAGCACTTTACAATTCCATTATTCATTCACTCTCACATTCACACACTGGTGGAGGCAAGCTACAGTTGTAGCCACAGCTGCCCTGGGGCAGACTGAAAGAAGCGAGGCTGCCATATTGCGCCATCGGCCCCTCTGGCCAACACCAGTAGGCGGTAGGGTAAAGTGTCTTGCCCAAGGTTTGTTGATATCCTTGAGTTTGAGGATTGGGCAATGCTTCCCTTAAAAAGATTCTGAACAAAGTATTAAAAATTATTTTTAAAAAGTTTGTGGGTTTTTTTTAAGTCTAGTTCCTCAGTATTTACATAGTAATTGTAGCTTGTTGCTATGTAGAAAGACTAGTGGGAACAAAAAGGGAAGGTGGAACATGCAGGAAGTTGACGCTTGAATAAGAAAACTGAAAGCAAACAAGCTGAAGTGCAGCCTGCTCGGACTCAGGGAGACAGCAAAGAGATAAACACATCAAGTTCACTGCAGGGTTTGTTTTATAGATAAAAATGAAGCTACTTTTTGTTCTCAGTCTGATGGTTTTCATGCCAACGATGGTTGAACCAGCTCCTACTGAAGAACGACCCACATGGCCAAGAACAACAGGTAAACGTACAAAAGAATCTGAAAGGCATTTTCTAGTAAATGCAAATACATGTATCCATGTCACTTTCGTTACTGTGTGAATTTTGACATGAAGCTGATTTTCTGTGTCTGATTGCAAAGAACAATTATCTTCCTCAAATATTTAACTGGTGAGAAATGTCCCTTGCAAAAAAACCCTTTAAAACCACATTCATGCTAATGCTAACAGCTTGCACGAGCACCCTGTGTGCAGAGCTCAACGCTAGCAGGTAAAAATGTACTACTAGCATTTATTTAGCAGTAGGCTAGTGTTAGCATCAAGCACAGAATATAACATCTATTACAACACATAACACAAAATGTCCCAGCCTTCTCATTTAATGTTTTCTTTCCTTTATTTTCATGACTATTTAGATTGTAAATTCTCACTGAAGGCATAAAATCTATGAATGAACACACATGGAATTATGTAGTAAACAAAAAAGTGTGAAATTACTCAACATATTTTAGATGTTTTGATTACTGGTTTGCGCACTCTTGGCATTCTCTCAATTAGCCTGATGAGGTCGTCACCTGAAATGGTTTTCCAACAGTTTATAAGGAGTTCCCAGAAATGCTGAACACTTGTTGGCCCTTTTGCCTTCACTTTGCGATCCATCTCATCCCAAACCATCTCATTTGAGTTTATGGTAAGATGACTATGGAGGCCAGGCCATCTGGCACAGCACTCCATCACTCACCTTCTTGGTCAAATGGTCCTTAGACAGCCTGGAGGTGTGTTTGGGGTAATTATCCTGTTGATAAATAAATGATGGTCTAAATAAACGCAAACTGGTGGGATGGCATGTCACTGCAGGATGCTGTGGTAGCCATCCTGCAGCCATCCCATTTAGAAATTTAATTGCATACTACAGACACAAAGAGTTATAAAAAGAACAAAGAACTAATTTGATTCCAATGTGAGGATGAAACATTACAGATATTCTTCTATGTCACCAGAAAGGAAATAAAGGAGCTGTATTTTAGTGTTTTTAAAGGTGTAAACTTTTGCAGAGGATTGGGGTGTGTGCTGTTTAGTTTTTCCTAAACCTGCTTTTGGGAGCAAGACCCCAGAAGTCAACATAAAAACACATATAATGGAGGAAGAAGGAAGGAAGGAAAACGTTATAACGGCTTTTTTGTTGTCTTTTTGTCTGCAGGAAGTTCTGAAATAAATCTAGACGGGAGGATGTTCACTTTGTCTCGTAATTATGGAGGAGTAATCTTCTATCACCCCAATTATCATTTCCAAACTCCCTACCCAACCAGAAGCTACAAAGTCGGAGCTCCAAACACCACCACCAAACATCCAAACACCACCACCACCACCAAACATCCAAACACCACCACTACCACCAAACATCCAAACGCCACCACTACCACCAAACATCCAAACACCACCACCACCAAAGCTACAACTACACAGAGTCCAACCAGAAGTGAGTATGTACATTCAAAGAGGTGGTGTGGACGCAGTCAGCGGTTTATTCTACTGGCATTAGATTTACTGGTTGTACAGAGAAGTTTTAAACAGCTACTTTGATCTGAAGCAGGACTGGAAAAGTTCTCTTTTTTGCCCGTTTAACTACACGGTTAATCCCAGAGATATTTGAATATATGAAAAAGAAGTGTCTGTGAAGGTTCTCAGTCATCCAGGTCATTGTAGTCTAAGGAGCTTTGAAAGAAAAGCGTCTGGACTTCTTTAAGGTGCTTGAAGACGTTTCACCTCTCATCCGAGAAGCTTCTTCAGGGTCCTTTTGTCCCTCTTGGGGTGACACTCCCACAGGGCTTAAATCTGGGACTCTCCACCATTTGACCCTAGAACTGAAGAAGCTTCTCGGATGAGAGGGGAAACATCCAGACGCTTTTCTTTCCAAGCTCCTTAGACCATAAAAAAAAAGTTTTTAAGAATTCATCTCAGGTTTTCGGCATGATAAAGAATTGCTGCTTGGGGCTTAAATTGTGAGAAATAAATTTGAAAAATTACATGAAATATTTCTGTTAGATCTGCGAGCTAATTATAACATGAACATTTTTGTTAATTGACAGAATATTTTTTAAAGCAAACCCACTGTAATCTTTCCATGTTCTGTGCAATATTTTTGGCTCATGTGCAATTATTTTGGTCCCAGTCTGTTTCAATGTTTCCTACACATACACCATGTATATAGTTCCACTCACATATGTGTATACATATACACTGTTTTTTATTTTATTCTATTTATTTAATTATTTATTTATTTTCCGCCTTCGTTGTATATTGGTTTCTCTTCTTCTTACTTTAGCACCTTTGTGGTCCAGCTACCCAATTTCGCTGTGCAAGAAACTGCACAATGACAATAAAAAGCTCTAAGTCTAAGTCTCTAATAATATATTTAATATATAATATTTTCATTCATATTTTCATAATATTTTCATAATAGATGGTGAAAAAACAGGAACTTTCTGTTAACAGTTTTTCTTTTGCTTATTTATGTTGGTGAAGTGTAAATGGCCATAGAGGAGGTCTTTATCAGTAGGAAAAGCTGTAAAAGTCATGGAAACAGTGAAAAGCATGAAATTTACGTCCTCCTCTACAATGTACAGACTGCCAGATTGTAGTCTTTTGCAGGCCAATTCCAGCACCCGGGCCTTATGCTTGACACCCCTTGGTTTAGTCTGTTTGAAGCCAGACAACAAATTTGGCAAAAGTGCTGACTCTGTAAGTGTATAATCTTATAGACTGTAATTCCATTAAACTAATAAAATAAAAATTAAAAACACAAACAAACACAAACAGTAGTGTAGCATTACCTTATTATCCAGAAGTCCAGCCTGTGCAGCTGAATGACTGTGTGCACTGCAGATCAATGAAATTGATCCGCTGAAATTGGTACAGTTTATATTCACATTGATCCTGAGCAGGTAAAATATCTTGCAAACCAACTAAAGGAAAGAAAACATTCGTCAAAGCCCGATGCAAACTGTTTCCAGTCATTTTAAGGAAATGTGTTGTCCAACCCGTTTTTGTTACATCTCTTGCAGGTGTGTCGGTGTGTCTGCGTTACATGACTGATGCCGTGCAGCCAACCTTCCCACTCTTCACTCTCAGTCCAGACACATCCCCTCTGAGTCTCCAGGGTAGCTTTCACACGTTCATGCTGTCCTATTATGGTTCCTTCAGTGTGGACCTGCAGCCCATTGTCCACTTATGGCCAGACATTAAGCAGGACATCTGGACCAGTGTCTGCCTCACTGTGGACACCAGTAAGAGTGTGGTCCAGATGTTCAGTGGCGGGTATATGAGCCCCAGGAAGGTGATGCCTTATCAGGTGAGAATGTTGACAAAGTTAGAATCAGCATGTTAAAAACTGTGTAGATGTAGAGACAGAAAGACAAATTTACTAAACAGAGCAAAGTAGTGTGCGAGTTCACGTATGCAGGAAGCATTCTGGTCAGATTAATGAATCACCTCAGGTATTTATTTATTTGAGTATTTTTAATTGAAATGTCTTTCCAATGAGCGGAACCCAGACACCTTTCAGAGGAAGTTCATTTTCCTCACTTGTATCCATGATTTAATTTTCTCACAGCTCGTGGTCACAGGGAAAAAGCCATCTCTTAATCACATTACAGTCTGTCGTTCACGAAACAAGACCCTGAGATAGCTGGACTCCACCAGCTGGAACAGTAACTCCTTTCCACCCTTTTTGTGCCTGAGACTTCAACAGAAGACATAATGACAACACAGAATCATTTTTTGTTTTGTTTTGTTTATATCTAAGTGTAGAAAACACTTAAATGACTCCTTCATTGTAATCCAGATTTCTAAAAGGCTTTAAAAAGTAGACAATATTATTCTCAAAATCACTTAATCATCTGTAATTTTGATCTTCTCTTTTTTCTGTGTGTTCAGTATGTGTGGTCAGGCGAGCCTGTGATTAGTTTCCCAGGTTTTGATGGTCAGCTGACAGACGTCCAGGTGTGGGACTATCCTCTGCAATATAGAGACATCTTCTACTACATGAGCAGAAGTTATTACGGGTAAGATCTCTATGCTGAACTCACACACCGACCGTTTAATCATAACCACAGTATAAAAGAGAAGTTGTTTTTTTTTCCATTTAAAACAGGCCTTGTCTTAAATTTGCTTTTTAATGTTTAAGCTTTGTTTTAAAAGCTTGTTAAAAGTGTGTGTTTTGTTGTGGTTTTAGGTCTTACAGCGGCTCCGTCATCTCCTGGTCCAACATCAGCTACAATAACAGAGGAAGGGCAGTCTTGGAGGACAACTTTGGCATGCGAGCAAAAGTTGAGCAAGAGAGTAGACGGAGGGAAAAGAAGATGAGATTCTTCAGTGTGGAGGAAAACAAGCTGCTGCTTTAATGACAGAAGATGAAACTGTCATGTGAAGCTGAGAGCTTCTTTTGTATTAATGCATATATCAGAGTTCACTTCATGCAGCTGTACAGTGTAATCCATTATCTTTTATCTTTGTTTCACCAGCCTTTTTTGTTTTTGTTTGTTTTTTCGATCATAATCACTTGAAATCTGAAATGTCGGTGGAAGTTTTCACAGAGGTGAAGGCTGAGGTTAATTTTCCATTTGACTTCTAAAGGACAGTCTTACTGGGCTTACCCTGTAAAGGAAATGAAGAAATAATTTACTTTATGACTTAAATATCTATCTATCTATCTATGAATAAAAAAAAATTGCTGTTTTCACTGTGTAAGAAAATGAAAATTATATTGTAAATTGTGAAAAAATTATTATCATCAAAAATGATTTACACATTACTTAAAATTACTTGCAGTACTTAATTTGCTTGCAGTATAACTATTTCTTTGCTCCCACTAAAGTGGACTGTTACCCCCTTACTCTAGTGTGCCTAGCTTTAATTATTTGTAGGTAAACATGACCTTAACTTCGAATGAGAGTATGAAGTTAAGGTCTATAAAGGTGTGTGTGTGTGTGAAGAATGCTCCACAGATCAGCCTTTAGCACAGGACTGCATAGGATGCAGTGTGCTGATCTCCAGATGCATCTGTAAGAAAAATGGGTAATAAAAGGATTCTTTGCAATGTGGAAACATCTCTGCGTGATCTCTACCAAGACAAAAAGAATCACAAAGAGAGCGTTGTCTCCTCACACTGCTCAATCTGTTTTCGTGTTTCATGTTAGGTGGGACTTGTGGCCTGCCTTTCTCCAGTTTGTTTTGCCAGGTCTCCTACACCTGAATGCCAAACCCTGTGGAGTGAAAATGCAGATCCTCATGCATCAACCCAGCACCTCAGCCTACCGAGCAGAATGTGATAGCCAACAGTATCAAAAGCTGAGGCAAGGGCCAACATGAGCAGCACAGAACAGTAACACTTATCACTCTGCATCAAAATGTTACTTGATACACTCAGACTTCTTTCTTAAATAAATGCGTCTTGACTAATGTACTCATAGTAAACTGGCATATTCACTCAGAAAAGTGTCTGGAGCTCTGCATGAAAGTTTGGGTGACGAGTTTAAGGAAGTGAAAGATGAAATTTACAGACACAGCAAGCTGTTAATGAGATAAAGTTCAGCACTGGTTTGAGTAGAAGAAGTAAAAGCTCACATACAGATTTAATGAAAGCTAAAGTAACTTAAGATCTAGAATTTCCAGATAGTATTGGTTCTTGTGTCAGTTTTACCTCTTGTTAAATGATGTGGAAAAGCTGTTGTGGTGAGCAGAGCTACTCAATGTTTTAGTGTTATTTTAGTCTAAATAGACTGGAATCAGCCTTTATGGACTGTATTCATACAGCAGTCATGACCTCTGTGTTGAACTTGCAGACAGGTTGAGGTGTGTTTGCTGATAGTCCAGGAAGCAAACAAAGTCCAAAATGCCCAAAACACAGGAATAATATCAGAGTCCAAACACCAGAAATCACAAGGGATGCAAATACAGGACGCACAGAGCGAGGAAACAAAGAGCTGCAACAACAACACGACCCTAACCCAAAGGACAAAACAGGACTGAGAAAATATATACAAGAGATACAAGAAAAACACAATCAACATAAGCAAAAGAAGGAGAAGTTTATTTGTGTAGCAGTTTTTAAAGCACACAGTTACAAAGTGCTTCAAAGTTTGAATAAAATCACATTACAATAAGTGTACTCGTTATACTTCTTCTT